CATAATAATATATCTAAGTATATAAACCCAAAATAAGAATATGAGCTCTGTGTATTTCTACATTGACCCTGAGGTCATTTGCAACAGAAAATAGGCTAAATTTTGTTTCGCGTGGACTCAGAGTTACAGACGTATAGCACTCAACCAGGTAGGATTCCTATGCCACCAGTTTTCATCATTGGTCTATGTTTGGGCCTCCTTTTCTTCAAATGTTTCTACATTTGTAACAATTAAATTGTTAATTCATTGGTAATAAAAATCAATACAGGATTCATAAAATCCCAAAAAAGACCCCTAAATAAGCTTAACTTCTCTTTGTAGAATCACGTGCCACATAGATCACATCTTTCATTAGTCGACCTCAATGTTGCACATTATCAATGAATCAACAGTAATATTTCATATCATATTTCTCGTCAGGCCATAGTTAACTTTTTGATTTTATTTATTACTTTTAAATGATACCGTGAATGCTCTTAAATATATCACCCAAAACAAGGTAAGGTCTTTGACCATTATTCAACTTGGTCTCTTTTCTAACACAAAGATAACATAACAATCTAAATCACTGTGGATGATAAAATCAGCTCATTGCATGCACTCTGAAGATATGATAAAATATGATACAAGTAGACAATATGATAAAAGATTGAGTTATTGTCTCTATATTTTCCACCACTCATTTGCACAGTCATTTGAGCATTTATTAATTTTTGGTAGTATTTATTTATTTTTCCCTTAATAAAATAAACTTCAAATTGATACCTGACTGAGAGCAATATCTATTACCTATCACTGTGTAAATCACCCTTAGTCAAATACATAATACACTTGATCCTTTTTTAATCCATTCCTTTACACTAATATGCATTTTCCTTAGTATATATTTTATTTTGCTTATGAACAAAGCTTCATTCTCTCCATATTTAGTCATTTATACGTTTATTTATTCTTCCATTGATACTTTTATAATAATATTTTAAGGCTTCATGAACTCAAAGGCCAAGAACTAAATCCTTATGTAGTCCTGACCTCCATCCATAGGTTCCCTTCATAAAGTAGAGTGGACCAGATTCCATTTGTGTTGGACCTCAGAGCTCCAGAAAATGTCTCTATCATATAATAACACCGAGTGTTCATCACAAGTGCGCTCCTTAATGCCCACCCCCTGTTTAAGCATCCCCACCGTCCCCCCCAACTCCCCACTAGTAACCATCAGTTTGTTCATTCTCTGGAGTTAAGAGTCTGTTTCTTGGTTTGCCCCTCTCTCTCTCTTTCCCCTTTGTTTTGTTTCTTAAATTCCACATATGAGTGAAATCATATGGTATTTGTCTTTCTCTGACTTATTTCACTTAGCATAATACTCTCTAGCTCCA